AGTGCACACATCCCTGGAGGCCATCTAAAGTACAAGGGCAGGGGTGAGATTACCAGTTTGATACCACTACTGCCCCAGAGTATTTCTATATGCCACATATGCTGTGCTTAAGCATCTTGTTATGGGCAAAGAACTAACCACATCTTATACCGGAAGCCAAAATTTTATTGTGACTGTATAACCCAAATACAGAAAACAGTTAATGTTAGTTTAAATGCAGTTTAAATCTTCCACATTAAAAGAATACACCTCATCAACGATATTATAGTTAAAAGTTGCAATAAAAACCTCCTCCTACTATCTAATGCTTTTTCTCTGGTGCTACATTTACCTCTCCACTGCTCCTCTAGCTGCTAATGCTGATGGGTTTTGTGTGAGGGAAAAGGTGTGACAGCAAGCTGTCCTCCTGAGATATTTGCTGGGAGGAGTATGATGTTCATGGTAGGGTTTTTTCTCCTCTTTGCTAGGAGGAGCATGACGTTGAGGTTGATGGCTGCTTCCTCCTCGCTCTAGGGGACACTTGGGCCCATTTTTACATGTTTGTTAACATGCTCTACACCCTGACTTCTCTTCCTTCGTCCACAACTCTTATGTTGCACTTAACTTTACTATTTATGGTAGGGTTTATATGCATAAGACACTTTTTTGTTATGTCTATAACTGGTTTTACCCAGCTCCTAGGTTTGCAGTGCCCACACTGGGGAGTTACTGATAGCCCTGGGGCCTCTGGTATTATCCTATGCTCAAACCTTTACAGCCACCACTGTCGCATGTAACTTTACTTCTTTATGCTTCATCATTAGTCTAGCATCACAGATAGTTCGTTCTACACAGCCGAATTACTTGTTATTCCTATTGATATAGAACTTTTAACAACAGACATTACACCAATTATACAAAGTTAAGCAAAACTAAAAGAAAAATGGTAAGAGCCACCTGCTCATTAGACAATTGCTGATGCAGATAAACAAGCTGAAACAAAGCTCCAAGCTAGTGAAGACTAGTCCAGACAACACCTGACAAGCCCTCCGGCCTGTGTTAACTTAACACAAAGCCTGTGGCTTGTTACCAACAACAGCAATACTGTATTTACTAATGCATGGGGCTACACAGGGCACTCAACTAAGAAGGAGAAGAGGTTGCAAGGGATCTGGTAAGAGCTTCCAAGAGATTCCGTCCTAATTTTACATCTTTGAAATGCACAGTACTTGGACTGAAAGGGTGACAGCTGACGATAGGATTAGGGTTTGGACAAGAACAGTTTTGAGAAACCTAAATTCTCAATGCATCATTGAGAACCCTGAGAAAAAGGGTTTCAAGTTCTACTTTACCTTCTGTCATTTACTTCTCAAAGACTGGACCTGATTTCTAGCCTAGGATAGATTTAAAACTAGGAGTAGGGCTAGAATTTGGGAAAGTGCAGGCTGAGGAGCCCAGGTTCTTGCTGCACCTTGGAGGTCCCCTGGAGCTGGGAAGAGAACTCACACAATTTTCTTCAAAACTGTTTTTCCTTAACCCCTTCTTGGCTCCTGTCTCATGCCTACCTTTACATTTTGAAATGAGGTAGGACCAAGAGCTGGGTTACAGCTAGGGTTTTGGAAAGTACAGGCTCATGAGCACAGGTTCCTGCTGCAACTTGGAGGTCCCTGAGTACAGAATAGGTTTCAAACTGCTGAAGACACCTTTCCTTCATCATTCTCTGTTCATGGGATCAACTTCATTTCTAGCTAAGGCAAAAAATGCAGTTCGGGTTAGGGATTGGGAAAGTTGTTTTCCATTATTTAGTGCCTTTTCTATATAAAGTGCAGACACATCCCTGTGAAGACTTTTGGAAACCTCTGGCTGTCTTTTCTCTGGAAGTTATGTTTCGTGTTTCCATCTGGTCTCCAAGATTTCTTTCCCTTGTGAATAATAACTCATTTTCAACAAAAATGGGAAGATGGTTTTTCTGTATGTACATGGAGAGAAAAGTATAAAAAGTCTACCATGTAAGAAAAACACGACAGATACTACGGTCTTCCCTCTTCTTCCCCCCAAACACAGCCTGTTCACCGTAGTCCTCCTCACGCCTCACTTTTTGGCCCTCCCTGGGGACTCAGGCACAGCCGGGGCGACCGCAGGCCTATGGCAGGGTCAGGCGTCAGTGCCAGGTGTGTGTCAGTGCAGGTCTGGCACCGCCAGCCACGGGACGGTGCCCAAATTTAGATGCTCAGTGACTCTGCAAGGTAAATTCGGAGATATTTAATGAATTCAAAGGATTAGCTGGCCTTGAGGAGAGGGCGATCCAGCTCGCCCTCTGGGGTGATCCAGGCCAAGCGGGATATAGATGACCTGGATTACACCCCACGTAGCACGGGGAACATGGCAGGTTCCCTTAAAAAAATGAAGACAATTATGAACACCTCGCCTGCAGGACAGCGGGCTCCCTCTGCCTGCCTCCCTCACCCAACCCAGCGCTGTGTCTGCGGCCGGGGAACAATGCGGCGGAGTGCCCACCTTGGCCCTGGCCTGGCCCCCCCGGGCCTGCAGGCGGTGGCGGCCCCTGGGCGCGGCGGTGCCAC